AGGACAAAAAAACTACACTGTTTTCTTCACTGCACCAGGGCATAAAACAATGCTTTGAGTTAATTGAATATTGGTTCTTTTTTTTTTTTTAAAGAAAAAGATAAAATATCTTGTTCTGGTATTATTTTTCAGTATGGTTGGACTACTGGTGTTCCAACTATCTTGTTGAAACTGCTTTTTTCTTCCTCTTGAATATGTAACATTTCAGGCACAGGGAGGGTTAAGCATGCATGCATGTCAATTTGGGAATATAATTAGCATTTATTATATTACTGTTATGGGAAAATATGCTCTCAGTTCCAAATGATTAACTTGCAAGTGAACTTCAGAAACTGTCAGGCAGGTTTGTGGATACTGGGTGAGGCACGCCAATGGCTTTGCACTTCTTTGTGGGGAAAGGCAACACGCCAGGCAAATAGGGCCAGACAGCCCTGGCTATCATACAGTAACAGATGTCTTTGATGGAGCACTCTATCAGAAAGTTCTGTTCTGCTTTCAACTCCTTGTGCTTGGGCTTCTTAGAATCTTGGATGCTCAATGACAAGCCTTTCCTTATGCAAGGACAGACAATCAGACTAAGAAGGGTCAAGACAAATTCTGGAGTCCTAACTGGGCGCTGGAGTCTCACGCCTTTAATCGTAGTTCCTCAGGAAGATGAGATATGAGGAACACAATTTAAAGCCAGCCCTGGGGCAAACAAATCTGAGAGATACTTATCTTCAATTATCCAGCAAAAAGCCAGAAATTGAGCTGTGGCTCAAGTGGTAGAGCACTAGCCATGAGTGGGAAAAAACCAAGAGAAGCTGGGTGCTGATGGCTCATGCCTATAATCCTAACTACTAAGGAGGCTGAGATCTGAGGATCACAGTTCAAAGCCAGCCTGAGTAGAAAATTCCTTGAGACTCTTGTCTCCAATTAACCACCAGGAAACTGGAAGTGGTACCGTGGCTCAAGTGGTAGAATGTTAGCCTTAAGGGAAGAAGCTCAGGGGCGCTGCTCAGGACCAGAGTTCAAGCCCATGACTGACAAAGAAGAAAAAGAAAGAAAAAAAAAGCCAAGTGAGTGCATGAGGCCCTGAGTTTAAGCTGCATTTTTTGGCATGCACATGCGCGTGCACACACACACACACACACACACACTTATTGAATCTTCTATGTGGACCACCGCATGGCTGAAAGTGGCAGCTTTCCTGGGCACACAGCCCAGGTGCCGTGGACATAAAGAGGGAGAAAGATTAGGGTCAGCCATGCCACCTCAGAGAGCCATTCCACCGTGACCAGCGTGCTGGCAGCCGGCCTACCTGCGGTCTCTCTCTCTCTCTCTCTCTCTCTCTCTTCCTTGCAAAGGGAGGGAGTACACCGCGGGAAGAGGATGGGCCTTGAGCCAGAGCTGTGTGTAAAAGGAGGCAGAGCCAGCACTGTTAGGTTAAAAAAACAAAAAAAAAACACCAAACAGAATTTGCTGAGACTTCAGGAAGGAGGAGCAGGAGATGGGAGGGCTGAGAAGGCGGCCGCCGGTTGGCCGTGGTAAGGCCCAGGCTCAGCATGAACTTGGGGAAAATGACACACTTCTCATCGTGGTGGCCTCTGGGTGAGCCAGAGGCTTCTGTACCCATCCCACACGGACGTGGACAGAGGCCTTGCAAGTACGAATCTGTGAGGACCCCATGTCCAGTCTGTTTTCTGTGGTGATCACGTAACACCCAAGGCTGGATGGTTGGGATAGAGATTTACCTGGCTCAGAGTTCTGGAGGTCCACAAGCACAGCACCAGCATTCACCCAGCTTCTGACTATGTATATATAGTATATGTGCGTGTATGTGTGCATATGAGTGTGTATTGAGGCTTGAACTCAGGGCCTCACACCTGCTTGCCTTTTTCACTTAACTCCAGCCCAGCATTTTACAGATGAATTGCAGATAGAGTCTCCTGGACTCTTCTACCCAAGCTGGCCTCAAACCATGAAACTTCAGATCTCAGCCTCCTGAATAGCCAGGAGTGAGCCACCAATGCCCAGCCCTAATTACCTCTTCAAGTTCTGACCACCAGTGTGTTGGCGATCAGCTTTCAATACAAGTTTGGATGGAGATAACGCCCTTAAAATCATAGCAGAAACATCCTAAAATGTTGGTCTAGACTGAGTCCAGTCTCACATAGATCCTCAGAAACACAACTGGCAGCCTGGGAATCTGCATTTTAATTGCACAGCTTGAAGTTTTCTAACCTTACCAACTTCATTGTACAGAAGAATTGTAGAATACATTGTAAATAGCATGATTGAGAATAAAAGCTGAACTTTCTCACCTCCCTGGGGGTCTTGGACAATCTGAAGTACATGGTAGAGAGAATGGGTACTGAGAACTAAGTATCAGGCAATTGGTTAAGTCCTTCAACACATCAGATCACTTAATCCTTACAACCCCCCTCTGAGGTGAGCTGCTCTGTAACCCCCTTTTACAAATGAGGACACTGTCAGACAATGCAGACTACATAACTTGACCAGGTGTCCAAAGTACAGACGTGCAACACAAATGCAGGCGGTGTCCTGAGAGCCACTGTCCTCTCTCAGCAAAGAGGTAAGTACAGCTCTGAGGTATTCTTTTTGTTGTTGGTGGTCGTGGGGCTTGAACTCTGGGCCTGAGCACTATCCCTCAACTCTTCAGCTCAAGGCGAGTGCTCTACCACTTGAGCCACTGCGCCACTTCTGTTTTTTTTCTGGTGGTTAATTGGAGATAAGAGTCTCATGGATTTTCTTTCCCAGACTGGCTTTGAACCTTGATCCTCAGATCTCAGCCTCCTGAGTAGCTGAGATTACAGACCTGAGCCACTGGTGCCCAGCCAACTCTGAAGTTTTGTAGAGAGGGGAGAATGTTGGCTGAATAGAATTTTATTTTTCCCTTTGGGATAAACCAATGCTTGGAGCTCCCTCCTAGCAAACACAGTCCAGGTCTACCGCTAGACAGTGCGGCTCAGGTCCAGGACCCCACACCAGCAGAAGCCTCTGGGAGAGGCCTCTCGTCAAGCCTCTCTGGTCTGGTCCCCTGTGCTGTGCAGGGCCTGGGAAGGCCCACTAGTCTGTGCTACCTGGGTCAGCATCCCAGAGCCGATGAGGAAGCATTGCTAGGGTAAAACATTACTCGTAAAAGAATCATCATTTTTATTTACCCAGCAGTTAGGATGTAGTGCTTTACAAGTGTGGACATCTCACATAATTCTACCAAGTGAGGGTTATTTTCCCATGTCACAGATGAGGCACAGAGAGGTTAAATAACGGGACTATAGGGCTACAGTGAGGAAATAAGGGAGCCGAGGTCACAACCAGGCTGACTCCAGAGTCGGGATTTACCCTAGAGGGTAGCACAAAACTGGGCCACCATGTGTGGCTGGGCTTGAGGGCTTTGCTACTGCTTCTGCGAGGACTCACGTAGTGTGTGTGCATGTGGGTATTAGTGTGTGTGTGTACGTGCCTGTGTGCTGGTCCTGAGGCTTGAGGTAAAATCTAGGCACCGTTCCCTGAGCAACTTTTTTGCTTAAGGCTGGTGCTCTACCACCTGAACCACAACCCCACTTCCGGCTTTTTGAGGTTACCTGAAGTTAAGAGTCTTGGCTGGGAAGGTGGCTCAGTGGTAGAGTGCTGGCCTCACATGCCTGAGGGCCAGGGTTCAATTCCTCAACACCGCATACACAGGAAAAGCCCCAAGTGGCGTTGTGGCTGAAGTGGTAGAGCGCTAGCCTTAAGCAAAAGCAGCTCAGGGGCAGCGCCCAGGCCCCGAGTTCAAGGCCCAGGACTGGCACAAAAAAAGGAAAAGAAAAAAAGGGGTCTCGGATTTTCCCACCCAGGCTGGATTCCAACCGCGATCCCCGTGCTTCGCTGGGCTCTGGAAAGTGCCTATGCATCTCGCCTGCAGGCCGGGGTCTGCGTGTGACCCGGTAACCTTCCGGGGTCATCGGCCCACCTGCCAGCTGCGCTGCACCCCTGCTCAGCGTGGCCTGGCCTTCGGCTGGAGCCAGGGGTGGGGGAGTTGGGCGTGGCCTGGCAGGGAGGGGCGCGTCCGAGGGCGTGGCCTCACTAGGCCACCAGGCCGGCCTTTCCGGGCGCAAAGGGGCGGGGCAGAGACGCAGGGGGCGTGTCGGTGGGCGGGGTAGCACGGAGGCCCGGCCTCCCGGGGGGCGGAGCCTGTCGTGGGCGGGGCCCGGGCGCGGCCGGAGCGCGGCTGCCGGTGCGGCGGCGGAGCGAGTCGGAAGCCGCGCGTCCTCTGAGGCGCGAGTCGGACACGGGTCGCGGCGGACGGACGGACGGACGCACGCAAGGGCGGGCGGACGCGCGGGGGGCTGGCGGGCCCCGGTGAGGTCAGGCTTGGCGCGGGCAGGCGGGCGGGCCCGGGGCGAGGGCGGCGGCGGCGGCGGCGGGGCCAGGCGGCGGCCGCGGGCCGGGACCCCCCGGTCGGCCGCGTGCGCGGCGGGCGTGTCCGAGCAGCCGCCGAGCGGGCGGGACCCGGACCTCCCCGGCTTTTCCCTTCCAGTCGGCAGAAAATAAACCCGGGCGGAGGTGAAACAATAGCGGGGCCACCTGGGAGGCGGCGCGCGGGGCCGCGGCGGGCGCGAGGCGGGGCGGGGCCCGGGGTCCCGGCGTCCCGGCCCGGCGGAGCCCCGGCCCCGCGAAGCCCTTCGCTCGGCCGGGCGGCGGCCGGGCCCGGTCGGTCGGAGCCCGAGAAACCCCCGGATCGAAGCCCCGCGTGTCGCCGCCTGGCTGGGGGCGAGGGGGAAACTGAGGCAGGGGGCGGCTGGTGACCGAGCCCAAGGTCAGAGCCGGACGGAGCGCGGTGACCCTCGGGCTGTGTTCTGTCCTAGGACTCGGCCCGGATCGAACCCCACCTGGCTTCTGGTGTCCCCCTGGGGGGGGGCGCCCCGGGACCCGGCACCGGGGGGGTGGGGATGGAGCCCTGCGGGCCGCCGCGGACACCCAGACCGGCCGGGTCAGCCCGGGAGATTTGACAGAAACGGAGCCCCAGCGAGGAGACCGACACCCTCACGGCGGAGCCAAGGACGTCCTCGTATAATCGGAGAAGGAAAGGGGCTCCTCGCGCCTCTCCCCCCTCGTTCTCCTGGAGGATTTAACCCACCGCAGGCTACAGTTCCAGTGGAAACCGCCGTGCAGACCATGTGGCAGGAGCCGGGAGTGCTTTCGACCGGCCCCGGGGGCCTCCCCTAGCCTGGGGGACCAGGACCCTCCGCGCCCCCCTGCAATCCCTCTCCCTGTCTCCCACCCCCTCCCGCTGGTGGCTCCTCTCCGACGTCGACGTCGTGATCGTCGTCGCTTGAGTTAAGTTCCATCTCCCCAACTCTCCTGGGGAGCTACAATCGGATTGCCAGAAATGAGAGATTAAGTGCTGGCGTTGAGTCCTGCCTAACCATGAAGTGCTTTGTCCCCGTGCTGAGTTGTCTGGCTGTGCTGGGTAAGTGGCCCCGCACATAGCTCTCCAATCTCCGTGCAAATCTAACCCGCCCTGGGTTCCTTCTGTGATTCCTCTGATTCTTTCCCATCAAGCCATAGACCTTGGAAGGGGGGGTGGGCAGCTGGTGTGTCACAGATTGGAATTCAGAACCTACAGGCCTGTTCCTGATGGAGAAAGGATGGGTGGGACATTGTCTTTAAAGCAGGAGCATTTATTGACTGGGTCTTGGGGTGGAGAGTGTGTGTGTGCGCACGCGTGTGTGTATGTATTGTGTGTGTGTGTGTGTGTTTATGTGTGTGCGCGTGTGCGCGCCCTGTGGACTGGCTTCTTAGAGTCTGACCACATGCTGCTTCAGTGTTTTCATCATTTGTGCTGCTTGCTTGGAGTCTGTTCTGGAAGGCAATGTCAGTTCCCACTGTGGGAAAGGGGGTTCGGTGATGATGGGGGGGGGGCTTTTATTTTGAAGGGGAGGTTGTAGATTGAAGGAATGAGGACTGATTTGTCTTACCTAAGACATCAGTGGGCTAAAAGTGTTTGAGGATGCTAATCCTGAGTCTCCTCGACAAGGAAGCTCAGCTAGGTCCTGGGAGGAGAGAGAGAGTAGATGGCAAGAGCTGCAGCTTCCTGGGGAGGGGTGGGATGAGATTGGTTTTCGTTGTTTCCCCAGACACCATCTGAACACCTAGTAGGAGGAAGAAGGCGGCCCTTGGCTCCTCCAAAGGTTGACCCCCCCCCCTTTCTTGTCGCAGAGGTCTTGTGTGGAGTCTCATTTCAGGTCTTGAGTGATTTCCAGCGTTCCAGTGCCTCCTCCACCTCCCAGGAGGACACGCCTCCTGGGCCTCTAGGGGCGGGGTCTCTGGCATTCAGAGGGGTGCAGGGTGGTTCCTCTTTGCACACCTCTGGGCTCTGGGGCTTTGAGGCACCTTCCTGACAGGGACCACAGCCTGTCCGAGTTCCCCTGAGTGGAATGTGATGTCCTTCCCGGTTGGAGGACTGACCTCCACCTCAGCCTTGCCCTGGCTGCCATCTAGTTCTGTCTAACCTCCAAGGGCTGCTGCAGCCTCAGAAAGGTGTCGGTGTTCCCAACGTCTCGTGTGGTGTTTGAAACTCATAAGAAATGTATTCCAGGGCTGGGAAGGTGGCTCAGTGGTAGAGCGCTTGCCTTGCATGCATGAGGCCCTGGGTTCGATTCCTTAGCACCACATAAGCAAAAAGAAAAAAAAAAAACGGAAGTGGTGCTGTGTCTCAAGTGGTAGAGTGCTAGCCTTGAGCTGAAAAGCTGAGGAACAGCGCCCAGACCCAGAGTTCAGGCCCCACGACCGGGCCGCCCCCCCACCCCCCAAAAATGTATTCCGTCGGTGTGTAATGTTAGAGTTGGGTACAGGTTGGGAGTATTAAGGGAACTTAAAAGCTGGTGATACTCACACAGTGACCCCAGGCCATTTAAACCAGATTCTCTGGAGTTCCAGCCAGGTACAGGCTTTGGGCTATCCTAGGACATTCCATGCATGATGGAGTCAGAGAACCCGTGTGTGAGTATACACACACACACCCCTGGCAGGGAGTCTTCTGCCTGGCTGGCTGTGGGTTCAGATACAGTGTCTCTGTTTCTCAGGCCCAGACAGGCAGGCCAGGAGCCCTGCAGCTACCCACAGCCTCTTGATATTGTGTTTGTATTTGTTAGACTGCGTTTGCCCAGTCGCTCAGTATCTGGATTTGAATCAGCAATTAGTGATTCATGTTGATTCAAAAGGAACCAAACCTGGGGTGTCCTGGGAGGCCGCTGGGTGTGGAGTGGGGTGGGGTGGGGTGAAGGCAGGCTGAGTGGAAGGGCGGGCCAAGGAGGAGAAGGAACCATCCCATGGAAAACAGGCATGAAACATTTGGGTCTTTTGTTTCTTTTGGCTGTTCAAGAACTGTAAAGCTGTCTGCTGCTCTCCCTGCTGTTCACAGGCCCTAGATGGGGGTGGGGGCTGACATGGGGGGCAGGGGGGAGCAGAGGCTTGCCACCTCACCCCCTACACCTGCAGAGATGCCCTGGAGGAAAGTGGGCATTAAGGTGGCAGAAGGCCAGATGGCGGTGCACGTGGGGACAGGTGTGCCAAGCTCATCCCACTGGAGGGGACCTCCTCTTTCCTGATCACTGGGGTGCAGAGCCCCACTGAAGGGGGCTTCCTCTTTCTCATCACCGGGGCAAGGGAGAAGGCCTGCCCTCCTATAGTCTCCACTTGGGAGAAGCAGAGGCATTTGGGGAGTAGAGGAAATCCACGTTCGAATCTCCTGTGCTGCTTGTGGTCTGATTCCTGTAGTAGCATTCCGTCTGTGGAATGAGCTAATAATGTGCAGTGTGAATTCAAAACAGTAAACAATGCCAAGGTTTTGCCATGGGGCAGTGGCTCATGCCTGTCATCCTAGTGCTCAGGAGGCTGAGCTCTGAGGATCGTTGTTTGAAGCCAACACCTGCAGGAAAGTCCTTGGGACTCTGATCTCTAGATAAGCACTGTAAAAACATAAGTGGAGCTGTGGCTCAAGAGGTAGAGTGTCAACCTTGAGCACAAAAGCAGGCCCTGAGTTCAGGACTGGTATGAATTTAAAAAAAAAAAAAAAAGATGCCAAAGTTTGAGCCTACTCATGTGGGTCGCATGCCTAAAACAAAATTTCACCTCCTTTACAGAGTTGTCTGAGGCTACAATGCTGTGGTGCTGTGGGAATGAGACCCATGCAGGAACCAGACTCCAGAAACGGCGACCTGGAGAGAGAGAGAGAGAGAGAGAGAGAGAGAGAGAGAGAGAGAGAGAGAGAGAGAGAGAGTGAGAGAGTGTGGTGAACCTCTGACATCAGACCTGGGCTCTTCTCCCTTTTTCAGCTCGTGTCTAGGATTCGAAGAGGGTTCCTCTTACTGGGATTCTGAACCTGTCTGGTCCTTTGTCCTGCTGGAGACCCAAGCCTTTGTGCTGCCTCCTGGCATAGTGCAGGCTTTTTGCTGTCTCTCCTGGCCATGGCACCCTCTTTCCTTCTGTCCCGGCCTGGTGCCCACCCAGCTGGGAGCTGTTGGCTGTTGTCACCACCCTTGTTCTGGCTCCAGAGCCCTTATGTGAGATCAGGGACCCCTCTCCAGGGAGTGGGTGGAGCTGGAGGGACCTGAGGATCTGAATGGGCAGGGGGGGAGGGGGGAGGGAGAGTCATGGGGGAAGGGTGTGGAATTTGTGTTGGGCTGGTACAGGATCAGGAGATACTTGGTCCCCCTTTGACCAGGAAGTTCTCCCACCAAGTGCCCAAGTTACACAGCACAGAATCAGAATGGCTTTTAAAGTGTTACAGATTGCTCTCCCCAGAGCCCCAGGGGAGCCCTGGGGATGAGAGGTGCCATCCAGGCAGCTTTGGGTCAGGGCGAGGTTGCACAGGGTGTGGAAGTGTGGTGTGGTGAAGCCAAGCCACTCATCTTATGGCCAGGAAATGAGAGGGAGAGGCTGGGTCCCTACTATCTGCTTCCAGGTCATGACTGAGGTGACCCGAAGACCCCTCAGGCTCCTTAGCACTTCTTGCACCTCCCCTTGCTTTCACCCCGGGGACAGAGCCTTTGGACCGTGGGTCATTTCAGGTCCACTCTGGCATCTTGCAGGGTGACCTGAGCCCTTTATTCTGGCCTCACAACAACCCAGAGAGTCCCATGCCTTTATCATCTTTATAGACGAGGCGATCGAAGTCCAAGGAGGTTTAAGTCACTCACTCTCACCCAAGGTGGAATACTGTGCTTCAGAGGTGTGTGTGTGTGTGTGTGTGTGTGTGTGTGTGTGTGTGTGTGTGTGTGTGTGTGAGGTGGAATACTGTGCTTCAGAGGTGTGTGTGTGTGTGTGTGTGTGTGTGTGTGTGTGTGTGTGTGTGTGTGTGTGTGTGTACTGGGATCTAACTCAGAGCCTTCTCTCACTTGGTTGGCTTTTTCCACTCAAAGCTAGTGCTCTACCAATTGAGCCACAACTCTAACCTGGCTTTTTTTGATTTGTCTATCTGGGGGGGGGGGGGGCTTTGAGCTGGGATCCTCTGATCTCAGCTTCCCGAGTTGCTAGGATAACAGGTGTGAGCCACTGGTGGTGTGGTGCATGGTGTAAAAAACGGTTGGCTTTTAGTGTAAGGAAATTCAGGACACCTGGTTTTCGAAAGTGGCTCTATTAGAATCGAGCTTATAGCTGTGGGAAATTACACGTTGCCAAGTTATCTCATGAAACCCTCTATTAAGTGACTAATTGTGAGCCACCGTGGCAGGCCCTTTACAAAGCCCTTGGTGGTGGGCCTTCCTTCACCAGGATCTTCAGTTAGGTGGGGTTTTGGGACTTCCTCCCTCCCTCCCTCTCTCCTTTTTTCCTTCTTTTCTTCCTTGTCCTGAGGCTTGAACTCAGGGCCTTGTGCGGTGATTGAGCTTTTTCCCTCAAGGCTATCTCTGTCACTTGAGGGACACCTTCACTTCTGGCTTTTTGAGTGGTTAATTGGCGATAAGAATCTCAGGTTCTTTCCAGCCCCTGCTGGGCTTGCTTTGACGGTGATTCTCAGATATCACCTCCTGAGAAGCTAGGATGACAGGTGTGATCCACCAGCTCCTGGCTTAGAGCAATGACATTCTAACAAACTGTCAAACTCAAATTATTACCTAGCCTCCCAGTTTTCTTCTTAATCAACTTTCTAATGCCCAGCCCACCCACCCACCCTTTTTTTTTGTTGTTAGTTGTGGGGCTTGAACGCTGGCCCTGGGCGATGTCCCTCAACTTTTCAGCTCAAGACAAGTGCTCTACCACTTGAGCCACAACGCCACTTCTGGTTTTCAGAGTGGTTTATTGGAGATAAGAGTCTCATGGACTTTCCTGTCCAGACTGGCTTTGAACTTCAATCCTTAGATCTCAGTCCCCCAAGTAGCTAAGATTGTAGGTATGAGCCATGGGTGCCTGGCTCCGCCCCTTATTAAAGCAGGAAAAAGCAATCTGATCCCAGTTGTGTGTTATTTCATT